CGACAGCAGGTCCATTTGGAACTCACACAGAGATGGTCAGACACAAGATCACAGCTAGACCTCTTCAAGCAAATAGGAGATGTCAGGAGACGGATCACCGGTTTTTGCACAGACTGGATAGGGGGGGAAAGAGAAGGCTGGATAGCAAAGGTGCAAAGGTGCATTCTAGTCGTGGAAAAAGTACGGGTAGAAGGGCCGGAGATAGAGGAACAGATCCGACAGCAGGTACATTTGAGACTCACACAGAGATGGTCAGACACAAGATCACAGCTAGACCTCCTCAAGCAAATAGGAGATGTCAGGAGACGGATCACCGGTTTATGCACAGACTGGATAGGGGGGGAAAGAGAAGTCTGGATAGCAAAGGTGGAATGGAGTGGGGACAATAGAGATGGGACACAGGACTTAGAAGAAATGAGGGATTATCGGCTGTTTTTTAAGGATTGGACTAATATAGAGCCTTCATTCCCGCTACGCCCTCCCTCGGACTTCCCGGACCCTTTCCCACCACATACCCTGTCACTGGCTGAAATTCTGTCCTGAACAACCTTGAAGCACAATAAGAGGACCGTTCCCTGGTGCCCCCCGGGGGAGAGCTAACCATGTCAACAAAGCCTTTGAAGCATGGCTGTGCCGGCAACCGGCTGGTTGGACCGGCCCGGATCCAACCGGGCCGGTTGGACCCCCGGTGGTCCAACCAGAATTCCGGTTGGGTCCAAAAGTGGGTCAATTTTTTTTTTTTTTTTTTTTTGAAAACATGGTTGGACTGCGCTCACCGAGATCTCCGAATCCGCAAAGAAAACTTTGAGCAGAGAAGTTTCGTTTGGGGGGTTGGGGTGTTGGGGTGTTGGGGGGTAGGGAAGGTGGCCTATCCTGTCAGGACAACCACCGGCTGCCGCTGCCAGCAATCACTGTGGGTCTAGTCCTTGGCCTCAACAACACCATGGGCTAAAAAAAAAAAAAAAGATGCGCTGCAGCCAACCGGGGGGGAACCGGTCCGGTCGACCGGCCGGTAGGACCGGTCCGGTTCCGGTTGGGGGAGGACCCCCCGGTCGTACTGGGTTTTCAGCACTGCTTCGAAGTGGTATCAATGCTTAATGGTCGTCTGGCGCCTCCTTTTGGGGGGTGAAGAGATACGGAAGATAAGTGCTACACTATTGGACAAACTGGATACATTAGACACACCTGCTCAGTCAATCCCCTATGGACATAGGGCAATCAATGCTGGCAGGCTCCATAATCACGACTCTTGTACGACTGTCATGAATTTTGGTATATGGGACGCTGGACCCGCTTTCCAGCAGGTGATGCTCCCCACCAATAGACAGAGCCCCCCCTTAGGTGCTAGTGGTGACTGCTCGTATCAGCAGCACTAGCACTGACGGGGATGGTGTTTAAAAAAAAGACAAAAAAAAGGAGTCTGTTTGAGTCTGTCACGGGACTGTTTGCATCTGTTTGAGCCTGTTTTGAGTCTGTGTGAGTCTCTTTGAGTCTGTCACAGGACTGTTTGTGTCTGTTTGAGCCTGTTTCGAGTTTTTGTGAGTCTGTGTGACTCTGTCACGGGACTGTTTGCATGTGTTTGAGCCTGTTTTGAGTCTGTGTGAGTCTTTTTGAGTCGCTTCAAGTCTGCTTTAATCTGCAAGTCAATTCCAATCTGCCTATTTCTGTTTCCAACTTTCCAACCTATTTTGAGTGTGTTTGAGTCTTTTTCGGACTTTTGAGTCTGATTTGATCTGTTCTTTGTTTGTTTGAGTCTGGTTTGGGCAATCAAACCAGAAGGCGTTTTATAAACAAAGAATCAGCCCCCGTGCAGGTGACCCTCAGGCGCCTAGTTCAGGCTGTGCACGGCTGGGCGACCCAAGTAGCCTACCGGTAGGTTTACAGGCCAAAGGTAGGGTTTCTTGCAAAAGTGGGGTTCCTTGCAAAACTGTTTCGAGTACGCAAACGCAAATTATGCCTGAACACAAGTCATAATGTCCAATCAGTAGATTCGAGTACGCAAATGATGTCATCACAAATTCGAGTGCGTAAGGGGACATTGCTACTGTTATAAGATTTGTCTAGCAAAAGTTCAAAAAAAAAAAAATCCTTGCTGTGAAGGGTGCACAGTCATTGCCCTCCCATTTCACGAACAGGCCAACCCAACAATACTGTGAGGCATGCAGGAAAAGGGAGAGTTCCAAAGTCAACCGGCCCACCGCTCTACGAGATGGAGCCAGAGAGAGAGAGGTAGACCGCAGTTCAAACACCTGAACATTAACAAAAAAGCCAAAGGTAAAAAAGACACAGATGTGCAGAGGTCTGTTCATGATAGGTTCATCATACCTGGGCACCATGGATGAGCAGGCCTAGTCCTTTTGACTGTTTGAGAATGACTTCTTGCCGCTGAGATACGATGTCGCAATCGAGTGAACGACGGTTCATGCCATGTAATAGACTTGGCTTCTCCTCCTCCTCCCCCCTGGGGGGCTCAGTCCTCGTAACCCCAAGACTCAGAGACCTTCTTCTCCATGCTTGACATCTCTCGATCCTCGCGATTCTCATTTTGCTGCCAACATCATCGTGCGGAAATTGGCACGAGAGAAACCTGGGCAGCGGGTCGTTCTCCTTGCTTTCTGAAAGTGCTCTCCCACTCCTTGGCCCGCTCTCAGACTTGCATAAAGAAGCGGAACTGGTTCGCGTGACCCCGCTTAGCGGAGCACATGCACTGCAAGGCTGCTGTCCGTCGTCGTCGCTGTCGTCGTCTTCAGAATAATCATCGTGGTCAGCGCAAGGGCCTGCTTGCGCTTGGGCACACTCTACACCGCCCCCAGACTCCCTCTGCGTATCACCTGCGCTTCGATTCGAACGAAGTCCATCGCCGTCAGCTTTGTCACCGACTCCTAATTCCAGCGATAGACTTCTTCCGGTCAAGATCATGGCGGGATTGGTGATGATGGTGTTCCTCTCGGCCGTCCGTATCCCGCCTCTGATCGCCTTCAGCAGTTTCTTGTAAGTGATCTGTTTCTTCTCCTGAATCGCTCGTAATAGGTTCAGCGTCATGGCACCATTGGACTCGCCGTCTGCCTTTCGTGAGAAACAAAGAGCATGCAAATAGAAATGAGAAAGCGGGAGAAACACAGTTCAACACAACACTGTCACATCCATGCTCTGGCATTGCCAGGTTAATGTTTCCTTTTTCAAAAACAAAAATTCGCATTACCAGGTTATAATAGTACTGTTGTTGGGTTCCGCAAGATGCATATTTTTGCCATGAAAGTGGGACCCCGGCCGCAAATATTTTTGCTGTGAAACTAACGCCACCTGTAAAGCTGCAACACCCTGTCTTCTGGAATTGACACCTAAAGGCTAAGACCCTCTTCTCTGGAGTCGACAACCAGAAGGGTTCGAACCCCCGTTCTCTGTATTTCAGACCGTAAACGGTTGAACCCCTTTGTTTGGGAATTGACATCATAAAAACCCCTCTTCTGGAGTCGAACAACCTAAAACCCCCTTTCGCTGGAGTTGACACCCAAAAGGGGTCAAATCAAACCCCCCTTCTCTAAATTTCAGACCCTAAAGGGCCTAAGCCGCTTGTTCTGGAATTGACATCCAAAACCCCATCTTATGGAATTGACACCTATATAGTCAAAACCCCTTCTCTGGAATTGGCACCCTAAAGGGCCAACCTGTAAACCCTGGAAGCGAGGAAAGAAGGATCTCAGTTTCAGATACACAGGCCCATAGCTGAAACTATGTCGTCAGCATTCCACAAGTATTTGGACTGTAGTATGCACCAGTTACATTTGGAATTTTGCACCGATCCAACCTTTCAAATGTTTACCTAGTCCAGAATCCAGATACATTTAGAATATTGTGCAGCGAAGTGAGGGCTCTATCACAGCCACAAAATGGTAAAACCCACGTAACTCAATAGACCGTGTACTCTCTGCTCAGCAGCACGAATGACACAACCAGTGATATGGTTCTGAAGTCTGAGTCCGAGAAAGACGCCATTCCGGAGCTGGCTGTGGCCATTTGTCACACTCATAGATTATTATTATTAGGGTAAGTTTCAAAAATAGCGCGTTCGCGGTAGTTTCACAGCAAAATAGCGGCGGGGCCGAATTTTCGTTGCAAAATTTTTACCTGGATGTCAATTCCAAATTAAACCACCAGTACACCTGTGCCTGGAGGCTCTGCACTGGGCGGCAATCTTTTCCGAACCGCCAGCGCAACACTGTTTTTCTTTTTTGAAAAATTGCATCTGTACCCCAGTTAAAGATGGGAATACCCGCTATACCCAGTCCCAGCATGGACTTGGTGACAAAGAAATTTCTGCAAGGCTGGGGCTGTGTACTGGCGGTTCGAGGAGTTTGGGGGTGTAGATTCCACAGAAGGGGGTTTTAATTGTCAATTCCAGAGAAATTGGTTTTGGTTATCGATTTCAAGAGAAGTAGGGAGGGGAAAAGGGGGTGCGTGCGGTGGGGGTGTCATTCCCAGAGAAGGCCTTGTTTGGGTGGACCAACCTCTGAGAACTCATTGATTGCTCATTAAAATGAAAGAGTGGACCAACCCCTGAGAACTCGTTGATTGCTCATTAAAATGAAAGAGAAGGGGATTTCAAAATTCCATCAACTTCGTTTGGGTTTCGTTTTCATATGGTTCCTGCTGGAGCAAATCTTTGGTTTTAGGGCCAGTCATCCCGCCTGTGCTATATTTCACACTGGAAAGCACTAACCTGGCCGCTATAATGACCAGATTCATGCTTTTCGAGCATGAACGCAGCACTCGAGTATCCTGCCCTAGCATTCCCCGTAAGACATGGACGAAAAAAAAGTTAAAAAACTTTCCATGGGCGATAAATGATCATTATCATCATTTGCCATAAACACAGCAATAAATGTGCGCATGCATTCCGTCTGTTCTCGGAGACTTTTTTTTTTTTTTTTTTTTGTGGACATCATCAATACCAAGATTGATGTGCTGACCTCTGATGGTCGTTCTCGTTCATACTAGAAAAGCACTAACCTGGCCACTATGATGACCACGTTCATGCTTTTCGAGCATGAACATAGCGGTAGAGTATGCCGTCCCTAGCATTCTCCATAAGACATGGATGAAAAACTTTCCATGGGCGATAACTGATGCTTCGCCGTAAACACAGCAATGAATGTGCATGCATTACGTCTGTACTCGGAGACGATTTTTATTTTTTCTTGTGTGTGTGTGGGTATCATCAGTACCAAGATTGATGTGCAGGGTAGAATTGGCCTCACCACAACCTCTGACGATCGCTCTCGATCCCCGCAGCCACTGATGCACACAACCAAAGCCTCTCTCTGCCTCTTCCTTTCTATGACTTCATCTGTGTCATGCAGTCCATTTTCCTCGTCCCTAACAGCTTTCGTAGTTGCACATCTGTGAGGGCAAGGGACAAGGATCAGTAAAAAATTACTTAAAAAGGCAATGCCAAGTATCTGGACTGCACTGCAGGAAGTTCCACATGTATCTGGTCCGTGCCATGGTCGGGATGCATCTGAACTGACCCATGCCCGAGCCCGGCAAAGCATCAAGGCCCGCACCCAGCACAAAACACTGGTCGTTAACTCACTGTGCAATGTGCATCCTGATCCTGGATCCAAGCAGCAGTTTTTTTTTTTTTTTTTTTTTTTTTTTTTTTTTTTTTTTTTTTAATACCTGACCAGGCCTACTGTTGACGGCGGTAAGAGCATCCCTCAGTAGTTGGTACCTGGCGGTCATCGGCTCCGGTCTATTGGTGGGGAGCGTCACCTGCTGGAAACCGGGTCCAGCGTCCCATGATTGACGAGAGCTGCCTTAACTCACAGCTGTTGTCACATAATATGTGTTTTTACATCTATCCGTCAAGTCCTAATCCTGTGCTGAATAGATTGGAGAAAGAGTGACTTTGCCTCGTTTCCACTCACATCTTTGCCTCGTTTCCACTCTCACTCTCCCGACTGTACGCATCTATTGACGGGCATGCGGCTCTAGCTCAGAAGAGCGAAGAGCCACATGCAATGTTTGCAACTGCACACGTCTATTTAGGCGTGAAACCGTGAAATAGACATTTCTCCATCCGTGCTGTTATCCTTGTGCAGGGCCTCCCACGCTAATCTTCTCGGTTGTTTCCAAATTCTGAAGGACTCCCCGAAGGTTCGGGGACATCCGTCAAAATTGGAACGATATAGAGAATATCAGAACAGAAGACCCCGCACAAGATGACGCACACAAATCAAGATACTCAGGGATGTGACGCTCCACGTCGACCTGGCGACCCCCCCCCCCCCCCCCCCCCTTGCAAGAAGGGTTCAGCAGAGGAGGAGAGACTCTTCGGACCAGAGGACGAGAGAGAGTCTCCGGAACTGTAGGAATGGGGAGTGCCATTTCGGAGGGTAGATCATGATTTGAACCTTTCACCCTTAGGTTAAAATCCCAGTGCCATTTCGGAGGGTACCGCATGATTCGAACCTTTCACCATAAGGCAAAGGTCCCAATGCTCTACCACCTAAGCTATATAACCTGGAGGGTGTAGGAGAGTATAGCAGGGTATTGGAGGATTTGAAACTTTGACCATTAGGTATAGCAGAACCCAGATACGTCAATCACAAAAATGTCAAAAGAGCAAGCATAAACCAAGAACAGCAGCCCCCCTCCCCTACCTCCTGCTCAGTCAATCCCCTGGATGCCAGGGTAATCAATGCTGGCAGGACTCTCCCACAATGGTTCTTTTTCTGACATACTGCTGTATATGGGACGCTGGGCCCGTTTCCCAGCAGGTGATGCCCCCCACCCATAGATGGAGCCTCCCCCCAGGTGTTAGTGGTGTCTTCTCTTATCAGCACCACTAACACTGGTGGGGGCGTGTTGTTTAAAAAAAAAAAAAAAAAAAAAAAACCAAGAACAGCAGCAGCAGCAGCGGGAGCAGCAGCAACACCACCACTTACAACAACAAGCACAGAAACAATAATGATGAGAGTGACCGGCACTGAGAACAGCAGCACAGCAGCAACAACCGCGACAATGATGACGACAATGACCCGCCAGCGAACCTCCACCACCAACAATTCAACAGCAGTAGCACCAGCAGCAGCAGCAGGACTGTAAATATACAAGGGGGGGGGACCACAACAGAAAGAACAGAGTAACAACAACCGCATTTCTGTTGTGGTCCCCCCCCCTTGTATATTTACAGTCCTGCTGCTGCTGCTGCTGCTACTGCTGTTGAATTGTTGGTGGTGGAGGTTCGCTGGCGGGTCATTGTCATCATCATTGTCGCGGTTGTTGCTGCTGTGCTGCTGTTCTCAGTGCCGGTCACTGTCATCGTTATTGTTTCTGTGCTTGTTGTTGTAAGTGGTGGTGTTGCTGCTGCTGCTGCTGTACTTCAACCGGGTAACCAGCCGGGAAAATGACCAGGATGTGGTGGCCCGTGGATAAAACCGTTGGATAAGCAGTTGTGCTGGATGAGAGCGGAGTGTGCGACTACTGCCTGTGTGACGGATGCCTTGTGTGGTGTTGTGTGTGTGTGTGTGTGAGTTGAAGGACACTACAGCCATTCAGGGGTGGGGTGGATATCACGACCAGCACGAATCCACTTTTGAACACCGTGTCATGGCTGTAGTGGTTAAGAGACTCGGCTCTTGGGGCTGAGGGCGCTGGTTCGAATCCGTGCTTGCACGGAGGAGGTCCTGTGACTGATAAAGGTACAGACATAGTCCCAACCACAAGACAGCAGTGACAGACCACAACACAGGTAACGCAGCCGCCACAACAACATCAGCTGCAGCCGCAGCAGCAGACACAGCATAACCACAATTCAGACTCTTTTACATCCAGGAGCATGTATCATTTCATTCATTTGTTCAAGCACCACAGATATCATACTAAGAACAAGTGCAAAAAGAGACGTAATCCCTAAACACAGAGAAGAGGGTAAAAATTGTGTGCACGATCAAATTGTTTCCCAATTTCTGATGCCTGCATTTACAAAAGAGATTGACATATACAAACGATCAGAAGCAACAGCAGCAGCAGAACCACCAGCACCACCATTGCAAACAACACCTAGACCATCACAACAACATACAATGCAACCAACAATAACCAGGAGGGAAAATAGGTGGGTGTTGAAGAAGAAGAAGAAGAAGATTCAAAGACACACAAGAAATGAGAACAAACACAAGCGAAGACGACGACAAGAAGGAGAATAAGGAGAAGACAGAGACAAAGAAGAAGCAGCAAAGACACAGAAAAGATGAAAACAAACACACACAGAAAAGATGAAAACAAACACACACAGAAAAGATGAAAACAAACACACACAGACGACGGAAACAGAGATAAGCAAAGACATAAAAGATGAAAACAAATGCACACAGACAAAAGTCAAAAACAGAACTCATGCAAAGAAGAAGAAGAAGAAGAAGAAGAAGAAGAAGAAGAAGAAGAAGAAGAAGAAGAAGAAGAAGAAGAAGAAGAAGAAGAAGAAGAAGAAGACATTAAAGAAGCAAAGACACACAACAAAAATAAACACACGCGAAAAAGAAGAAGAAGAACAACCACAAGAACAAGAACAAGAAGAAAACAACGAAGTAAACAACCAAGCAAAGACACAACAAAAATAAACACGCGCGAAAAAAAAAAAAAGAAGAAGAAGAAGAAGAAAAAACAAGAAGAAAACAACAAAGTAAACGACCAAGCAAAGACGCACAAGAGACAAAACCAAACAAGTGAGGAGAAGAAGAAGAAGAAGAGGATGATGAGGAGGAGGAGGAGAAGCAGGAGGAGGAAGAGAAGGAGAATCCGATGAAGGGGAGGAGAAAAAGGAGGAAGAGGATAAAAAGGATGTACATGATAAACTTACCTCCACATACCTTTCCCTTTGTATAGGAAAGGGAGGTCAAGCACAGTGCCACTGTGGCAAGCATCAATCACACAATGGAGCCGCGCACCGTCACAAAGAGGTTTGACTAACAGCAAGTTCAATTCATCGTCCACAATCACCCCATTCTCCTTGTAATCGAGCGGTACCAGGCATTCATCGAACCCATCAAGCTCATCACCATCCTCATCCTTCATCTGCACCCCGTGCCCAGAGAAGTAGAACACTAGCGAATCTCCGGGAGCAGTCCTGCTTGACAGCTTCGTCAACGCCATCACTATGTTCTTCCTCGTCGGACTCCTGTGTTGCTTGTCCTCTGCACATGCCACAGCACATCCAACAGTTTAGCGCCTTGCCAATGGCGAATTGGCCGTAGTTGTGTACATATTTCAGTAATAGTCCAATGTGCCAGGGATTACCGTTACTGCGCCATTTACTTTTTGGGAAAAAGGGCGACGGCCGTGAGATATGGTCATCGAACTGACCACCCCTAGGTAATTCAGAATAATTGTAGTATTTTACGCACGGCTCACTGGCTGCAGGGAAGCAATGAATCAGCATCAGACGGCTGCTGTAGATGTTGCAACCACGTGGGGACCACTGCACACCTGTGGCCCCCACGTATTGTGCACACCTGTGGAGGCAACATATTGAGTCCAGATGAAATCTGGGAGTGGTGGGAGAGACACTAGAAAAGTCTCCCACCACACTAAAAGAGTTTCAAGTTTGCTTGGGACTCAATCCAGTGGTCTGAAAAGTTAATCTTAGTAGATGGAATCCTATGCCCGCAGCAGAGTTGTCACCCCCCGCCCCCTACCCCTGCTGGGGCCACTCTCCGGGTTGACCCCCTCAACTGGATGGAAAAAAAAAAAAAAAAACAGAAAATACTAAAATAGGTTCAGGTGCGCAACTGCGGCAGTTTCCCCCTGGCCTTGATTTTCATTTGGTGACCCCACCTGTGCTGGGGCTGGGGTGCCGGGGTGAGGCGGTGGGGATGCAGGGGTTGGGATTCAGGGTGGAGATGGGGTCGGGGTGCAGGGGTGGGGTTGCAGGGGTGGGAGTGGAGGTGCAGGGTTGCCGGGGTGGGGGTAGAGGTGTAGGGGTTAGTGGTGAGGTTGC